AGGTCAGAGTCTTATAGACAAAATCATACTGTCCTTTGACAATATTTCAAGGGTATGTTTTCTGGAAATTTGGCCTTGAGACATGCTGGCTTTAAAACTACCTTAACAAGAGAAATAATAACTTTCTAATTTAAAAATCTTTATAAAGGGATCAAACTCTTAGAAACAGAAAGTGGAATGGTGGTTGCCAGGGGCTTGAGGGAGGGAAAAAAGGGGAATTGTACAAAAGGTGTAGAGGTTCAGTTCTGCAAGGTGAAAAGTTCTGAAGATCTCTTGCATAGCCAGATGAATATAGATATCACCACTATACTATATATACTCAAAAATGGTCAAGATGGTAAATTTTAAGTTATATGTTTTTTAACCACAATTTTAAGAAAAAAAACAATAAACAAAAAATCTGCAGCCAAATACCACAGTGTATATATAGTTCTGTGACACCCGTCTGGGAAATTATAATTGTCAGTGAAATTTAGGAAAGAAGAAATGTCATCTCACTGGCAAAGTTTTTGTGGTTTCAAAAATAAAGCATTTAAATATAGAGACTGAACAACTCTACTCCCTGTTGCTATTTTTTTAACCCACTGGTCTCTCTCCAGACTTCTGATGAAGCTTAAAGCACACAACATTATTTGCATATTTCCCCCCCTATTTTTCAGTGTTTGTATAATCGCTCAGCTATTTATTGGTTTGAGTTGTCAGTCAGGCTTAGTATCATACCCATTGTAACATAGTTACCCTTTTAAAAGCACCAGCTCCAAATAGAGTCATATTCTTAGGTACTGGGGGTTAGGACTTCAACATATGAATTTGGGGGAGGACAAAATTCAGCCTATAAAACCTATGACAGTTCAATTTTTTTTCTTTAATTTTCTTTGCAGAGATGGAGTCTCATTATGTTGTCCAGGTTGGTCTTGGACTCCTGGTCACAAGCAATCTTTCCACCTCAGCCTCCCAAAGTGCTGGGATTACAGGTGTGAGCTACCATGCCAAACCTAAAAAATGTTTATATTGAACTTTCTCTATTCGAGTTACTCTGTGGTTCCCTCTCTTGACTGGACTCAGATTAATAAGTAAGCGTTGATTTCTCCTAAGTATCTTGTGTAAAGTGCAACAAGAAATGTACATGTTCCCATAGAGATTTTTCTGGATGTGGATAAAGAAAAGAAGATTTGGAATTGAGAATGCTGCAGTCCAAATGAAGAAAACAGTCAGTTGTGGGCCTGAAGTGCAGACGTCAAGGTCTTTGATTCACTTCTTTTCTGTGTATGGGATTGAAACGCTGACAGGAAAGTGTGAGATCCTGGCAAGTAGAATGGGGAGGAATGAATGGAATGGAGGATTTGGGGGATCTTGACCCACTGGGCTGTACCACAGCAACCCAGGCTGACTCCCCTCTTGACAAACAGGGCTCCTGATATCGCAAAGTGCACTGGACTGGAATTGAGTTTGGAAGCAGTGGTGATATTTTAGTGGACAGAGAAGAGTTCTCTGTCAGCCCAGCTAGCTGTCTTCATCCACATCAGGGGTCCTCAAACTTTTAAACAGGGGGCCAGTTCACTGTCCCGCAGACCATTGGAGGGCTGGACTGCAGGCCCAGGGACCAGTCGGCTGCCTTATAAGCAGGACAGGCAGTGGTGGCAAAAACACCGGGCGGGCTGTATAAGTGTCCTAGGTGAGCCGCATGTGGCCCACGGGCCATAGTTTGAGGACGCCTGATCCACACTGTCAAACAAAGTACACTGGGATATAAATATGCTACCCACAGAGCTGCTGCCAGCAACAGAAATTCTACAGGTATAGACCAGCCTGAGCTCTTCAATTTAGCAGCCCTGCAGACCTGACAAAGTTTTTGGTGTTTGCTTTTAGGAGGTTCTCCTAAAATGAAACTGATAGATGATTATGTTTTTATCAGAATTTAGCACCAGTAAAAAGCCAGTCTGTATTATAAACAGGCCCATGATTCATTAAAACTCATGTTCCAGTTCCCTAGAGAGCTCTCAGGTCCTCAGGCTATTTCCAGTTTCCAAAGCCTTAATTGGAAACAAGATATAACTATCCCCTCTCCTCCAATAAGGTAGTTTAGTTGTGTCCTTTTAGAGTTCCCCTGACAGTAGAAATGATCCCAGCAGACTATATTGAAGAGAGACCTGTGTGGGGTAGGCAAGAATGAGGGCCAGAAGATGGCCCCTTGTGAGATGGGACAATAAGACAAATCCCAGCTGCACAACTTGCACAAGCAGCATGCCACAGTCCCTGGGGGGCGAGGGGAATGGAACCTTGCCCATAAAGTTTGTATCACCATGGGAATGCGTGAGGGCACAACTGGAAACTATGCATTCTTGTATCTTGCATGTCAGGAGCAAATACAGTGATTGGTGCATTATAGAATCCTTACTTTGCTTATGGAAAGAGCTGATTGGGAAAAGAGAATGAAAAGAGAATGTATGGTAAAATATATAAGCCCCTAAACACAGGAGTTCCTGGGGTAACCCACTTGGGACCCAGCTGGTGCACTGGGTAAAGTGCTGTGGCATCATAGCTCACAGCAACCTCAAAGTCCTGAGTTCAAGCACTCCACTTGCCTCAACCTCCTGAGTAACTGGGACTACAGGCACCCACCACAATGACTGGCTAATTTTTTCTATTTTTAGTAGAGACAGGGTCTCCCTTTTGCTCAGGCTAGTCTTGAACTCCTGAGAACAAAGGATCCACCTGCCTCAGCCTCCCAGAGAGCTAGGATTACAGGTGTGAGTCATGGCATCCACCCCTGTTTTTTGCTTTCTTCTGGTTTGTGAGTTCATTCTTTGATTCCCAAGACCAAGAAACTGGCAGGAAAATTCTAGTATCAATATCAGAGGAGCTAGATTGGTTTAACAGCAGAACTGTTACCCCTGCAAATCAACCAAATAAATGACGCTCATAAACCACAGTGGTTCTTTGCTTTGCTTTATTAATTCTGTCCAGCAACAGATAATCCATACTCTGTGGTTTCTTCCCCTTTCAGTATGTTTTCAATAGAAGTTTTCATTGCAGTTGTGTTTGCTCTCCACTGGTATATAACAGGTGGCTGACAGGAATTACATTTATGATTTAGTTTAAGGTTGCAGTATCATGAGATGTCAAAACTAGATCAGACTAAGACTCAATTAAAAGAAGAAGTAAATTATTTGAAGATATTGAACTGAAGATAGTGGTCCATGACATTGCCTTTAGAAACATAGCTGGAAAGGACTTTGGACAGCCTCCTGAGGAGGAAATAGTAAATGCCTATTTATCTATTCAGGAGGAAGGCTGAAATAATTGAACTTTATGTACAGAAGGAAAAGGTTTATGTATGCTAGAGGGTTCTACCATTTCCCTAAAATGTAAGCTTTGTTTTAAAAACTGCTGTCAGGCTTTGGCCTCTGCTGTTGTAGTGGAACTGATCTTGTTCTATTTGCCTCTGTCCTGGCTATAAGGCAGATCAATGCCCAGAGGATGCTAATAAACGTGTGTAGTAAGGACGGACAGAAAGAAAAAGGAAAAGGAGGGAGAAGGGTAAGGGGAAAGCATAGGTAGGGCAGAGATCTTCTCATTTCAAATTTACATCTTTCTCTTAAAGATCTGAAAGCACTTAGGAAATTTCAGCCCAGAATATGACTCCTTGGTATAAAGAGTACTTAGAATTAAAGGCCCTTAGAGATTAACAGGTTTGTGAGACGGGGCTTTCCCTCTATCTGCCTAAAACCAGACAGACCCATGGAAAAGAATTTCCCTTCCCCTCTCTGTTATCCCAGTAAATTATAGGAAAGAAGGTGAAGAATGCAACCAGATCTGACCCAAATAATTTTAAATATAATACTTGTCTCTCAGGTTAATTTAATTCCCAAAGATAATCATTTACAAATCAATCTGTTTCCCTCATCCACTCTCATCATCCTCCCTAGTAACCATTTATTGCCCCCTAAACAGAATTACCTATGTTCTTCATCTCCCCCTCCCCTCCAAAATGAGGGTCTATAAATTTCTGGACCTTATAAAAATATTGGTTAATCGCTCTCTGATTCTCCCTGTGTGAAGGGTGAATAAATCTCTTTCTCTTATTAATCTTTCAGCAGACCTGCCAGGGCAAAGGAGTTTTCCCTCATCCCCACAGATTAAAAAACAACATCATTAAAGAAAAGTTGAAACGTGAATTGGGTTGTTGATGAAGTCTATTTGCTACTCCTGGTCTGCTCCGAGTTCTTGCTCTTAAGACAGCGGCAGCTTATTCAATGAAGCAACTTTAGCTGCATTCAGAATGTTTTGTTATTGGTTTGCTCTCGTTCTACTGACTGGTTAATGTGACTGCTAGACAGCTCCTGTGCTCTGTATTCTTAGGAGAATATGGTTGTCATAGGCAAGGAATATATACAACTTTATTCTGATCAAGTAACATGGAGGATGGATTCCACAGATAAACAGGGCCATTAGAGCTACTAACAGGAACATCATTGATAATGGAAGCTGCATGACAGTATGTAAATCACTGCTCATAATAGATTAAATGTCATGAAAATGCATATTCACAATGACATTTATGAAGGAGTTGATTTTTTCTTTTTTTACAGAATCTCACTCTGTTGCCCCAGGCTAGAGTGCCATGGCATTATAACTCACAGCAACTTCAAATTCCTGGGCTCAAGCAATCCTCTTGCTTCAATCTCCCTGAGTAGCTGGGACTACAGGCACCTGCTACCATGTTTTTCATGCTAGGTTTTCTATTTTTATTAGAGGCAGGGTCTCGCTCTTGCTCAGGCTCTCTCAAACTGCTGAGTTCAAGGGATCTTCCCAGCTCAGCCTCCCAGAGTACTAGGACTACAGGCATGAGCCACCACACCCAGCATCGAAGGAGTTGAAATTTAATTGTCCGAAACCGGGGTGGACTAAAAAAGGGTAAATTGCTTTATTTTCTTTAATTTAGCTTCACTTTGGAATTTCCAGTTTTGCTCGTTTGTAGAGGTGTAAGGATAGTCTTTGTCAAAATGCTCAGTGATCAGAGGGAAGAGTTCAAATATATTTTCATCAAAGTAGTTCAGCAATTTCAGACAATGTCATCATTTGACAGAGAATTAAATTTGCAATGGAAAGGAATTCAGTTGTCTTTAAGGAAAGAAAAACCACTTTTTTCAGTATTTCTTTTTCATTTGCCTCCTTTCTCCTTCTCCAGTGTTGCTTCATCTAGGAAAACGGGACAGAGTCCAGTCAGGAAGGCAAAGCTTCCAATAAGCAGAGGTTGTAATAGGTAGTTCAGTAAAGGATGTTCAGTATGGAATGCAAAGATGTCGGGAGAGCCGAAAGACTAAGTGTGACAGGGAGAAAACACACAAGCCACTGAGAAAATGCAGGGCCTGCCCAGGAGAAAGTGGGGCCAGAGAAGGACTGGCAATCTCTCAGAAGCCAAAACCAGGGAATGGGGCCACTGTCAGAAGCAGAGAGAGCAGGAGAAAGAGCTTGGCTCCTCTCTTCCTTCCTCCAGTCTCTGATCCGTGCCTCCCATTAGCTGAACATAGCCAGAATTTAGTTGGCAAGGGAAGCTGGGGAACAATTTTTAAGGGTCAGCTCTAAAAACATCAAGCAGAACAGAGAAACAGGTGGGGAAATGGATGTGACTGTCAATAGTCATATGCCTAGGCCAGATACTTTCAGTCACAAATAATAGAACCAATTGAGAAAGGCCCAAATCAGAAGTTTTTTAAAAAAAATTTTGCTTAACAGATAGGAAATAGGGCTATTTCAGGGTTGATTAGAGTAACTGAATGACTCAACTACATCAAGATCCTATATTCTTTCTGTCTTTCAGCTCTGCCATCTTCAGTACATTTGTTTATCTTTTAGCTTGTTCTTTTCATGGTTTTAAGATGCTTGTAGCACATATGGACACAAAAACATCTGGACGTGGGTATGGATTTGTTTATTACCAATTATCTGTTTCTTTTGTTTTTTGTTTTCAAGAGACCAGGTCTTGGCTGGGCACAGTGGTTCACACCAGTAATCTAGGACTCTGGGAAGCCAAGGCAGGTGGATTCCTTGACCTCAGGAGTTTAAGAGTGAGACCTATCTCTACTAAAAATAGAAAAACTAGCCCAGCTTAGTGATGCATACCTGTACTCCCAGCTGCGTGGGAGGCTGAGGCAAGAGGATTGCTCAAACCCAAGTTTCAGGTTGCTGTGAGCTATGATGACACAGAACTCTACCTGGGGCTACAGAATGAGACTGTGCCTCAAACGAAAATATAAAATAAAATAAAATAAAATAAACACGAGACAAGGTTTTGCTACGTTGTCCAAATAGGACTTGAACTCTTGGGCTCCATCAGTCCTCCCAATTCTCCCACCTCACCCTCCTGAGTAGCTGGGATTACAGGCATGCTCCACTGTGCCTGGTTATTTGTTTTTTTGATCATTAAAGAAAAGCATTTGTGGGTGGTGCCTGTGGCTCAGTGAGTAGGGTGCTGGCCCCATATACCGAGGGTGGCAGGTTCGAAACTGACCCTGGCCAATGCCACACTGTTACAAAAAAAATAGCCGGGCGTTGTGGTGGGTGCCTGTAGTCCCGGCTAGGTGGGAGGCTGAGGCAAGAGAATCACGTGAGCCCAAGAGCTCTACCACAGAACTCTACTGAGGGTGACAAAGTAAGACTCTGTCTCTAAAACTAAAAGGAAAGCACTTGCTGAGCTCCTTAAAACAATTCCCTTCATATCCTTTTGGTCATAATTAGTCACATGGTCAGGCCTAAACCACTGGAAAGAGGAAAGAGGCTATTCAGACTGGATACTGTTAATCATGGCTTTTCCCCTTAATAAAAGACAAAATTACTACAAATTTAAAAGCTCTTAATTGGCTTTTATTTGTGGTTCTAAAATCTGGCAACACCCCCTTTTACAAAATGGAATAAAATGCAAGTTCTGATGAGCCAGGCAAAGAAGTTCAGATTTATATTAATAGATGGAAAAGGGCTGAGGAAAGCAGAAGTGCAGATGGGTTGTTTCTCAGAGTTACTTTCTTCTTATCACCCCAGCTAAAACTGCATTGTCTGGGGGCCTGGCTTTATCTCTCACTCCCAACTTAGTTTGGACTTGGTGACTGAGAATTTTAGTGTAACTTCATTTTGGTTTGGTCTGTTGGGTCTAATAGCTTAGTTCAAATGGATGGCGTTCTCTAAATTTTATTTTATACTCTTGAGCTGGAAATGAATGTTGACTCCTGAAGCACATGACACATGGTTGGAAAAAAGAAAGAAGAGACCTGACCCCAAATAATGATTTGTGAGAGTAGGGGTTGGAAGTGCGGTTTATGAATACTTGTTCACCGCAAGGTAGTGTCCATTATAGTTTCTTTTTTACTTAGGAAAGTAGGAGCCAAGTCAGAATGGGATAAGGCTGAAAGGACTAATAGAGATATACTGGTACAAACCAGCTGAATGTCAATACTGTGCTCAGTGGCTCACACCTGTAATCCTAGCACTCTGGGAGGCCAAGGTGGCAGCATTACTCAAGGTCAGGAGTTCGAGACCAGTCTGAGAAAGAACAAGACCCCATCTCAACTTGGTGGCACACACCTGTAGTCCCAGCTACTTGGGAGGCTGAGGCAGGAAGATAGCTTGAGCCCAGGAGTTTGAGGTTGCTGTGAGCTATGGTGCCATAGCACTCTACACAGGGTGACAGAATGAGACTCTGTCTCAAAAAAAAAAAAAAAAAAAGACCCACCCAAACCTCCATAAGGTTTTCCATGTTAAGTCCATATATTTTCAATAATCCCATTTCCTATCCTCATTATAGTTACTGTTAATGTAAAATTTAATACTTAGACAAATAGTATTCTTTGGGGTCTCTCATTTTCATAGTGGGGTTTCTCATAGTGTTAACTGGTGAAAAGCAAAGTTCATGACTTCTGCATAACACCTAATACCAGGCTCAACAAAGACAATAAATGGCAGAAATGAATTAACTAGTCCTTTAAATGTTTTCTATTTATGATTCATTTAAACCACAGTGGCGAGTTGTTTGTTTTTGAGGCAGTCTCACTCAGTTGCCTTGGGGAGAGTGCCCTGGTGTCATAGCTGGCAGCAGCTTCAAACTCTTTGGCTCAAGCCATTCTCTTGCCTCAGCCTCTAGAGTAGCTGGGACTACAGGTCACCGCCAGCCACAACGCTCAGCTATTTTTTTTTTTTTTTTAAGAGATTGGGTCTCCCTCTAGCTCAGTCTGGTTTCCAACTCCTGGGCTCAAGCAATCCACCCACCTCGGCCCCCCAGAGTGCTAGGATTACAGGCATGAGATGCCACAACCAGCTTCATACTGGAGAGTTTTTAACAAAGTATAGTAATGACACTGTTTTTTCTTCTGAAGCTAATGGAAGATGCTCTATGATGTTCCAGATTTTCTTTAGCTCCTTGCGCATTGTTGAGATTTCACAGATTTATCATTTGTGTAGCTATATGTATCTGGAGGCCACATAGAAAAACAAAAACATTTAAATTAGTGAATAACTTTGGTGAAATGCTTTGTCCATGCTCCTGCCTCATTTTTCTTCAAAGCTATCAAAGCACAGACTCAGCTCCTCCCTCTCCCCCAGGTGTGGGGGGAAGATCGCATCTGTGACTACTTAAGTACCAGTCACATTGTGCTAAAAGAGAAAATTGAAACTCTCTCAAAGAAATTTACGTGTTGTAATCCCTTTCAAAGGACTAAAACCCCTTAACAAATAATACTTGTTTCACAACGCATCTGGGCAAGAGGAAACCTTTCTGACAGGGACACAATAAAGACCGAAATCCTTAACATTAGGGAATATTGAAAAAAACATCCTGGAAAAACCCAACATATTTGATAAGAGTGGTGAACTGTCGGGTCCCCGGTACAGGGAGCCTGGTGGGGAGGAACAGGTGTGCACGTGGGCACCGCGCGGTTTATGTCACAACCTGCCCGAGGCGCCACCTGCCGGTCGCTATGGAGACCACTCTCCCCGCCCCATCCCCGCCTCTCCCAACCCCTCTGCGCGTGTCCCGGGGCCCTCTGGTGTTCGGTGACCAGCAGGGCAGGCTGCAGGCAGCGCAATGCCACAGGGGAGCTGCTGGCGGGGGTGGCGGGATCCTGGTGCACCATGAACCTTGGGTCCGGCCCGGTTCCGGGCCGATAAGCACTGTGCACGCCGCCCTGTATTTGTTCCTGGGCCTCGGCTGAGAAGGCAGCAGCGCCGGGGCAAGAAACTCTAGGACGGCGCAGGGCCACCTCTTTCTCAGCACACGACAGAAAGCACCCCATCCAGAGCGTCGCTCCTGGGCTCCCAAGTGAGGGTCTACGCCAGCCGAGGACTGGAAGAGCTGAGGCGCTCTGAAGAGGGGCGAGAGAAATTGGGAAGAGCAGCGGGAAGGGAGCCGCCTGCGCGGGCTGGGCGGTCGGGCAGCGGGTGAGGAGAAGGGGCCTAAAAGTGTTGGAAAGGGAGGCCCCAGGAGGAGAGGAGGGCTTGGGGTGAAGCCGGGACCCAGCGGAGGAGCTCGATACTGGAGCGGCCCCTGGCGGGAGGTCAGAGCCTGGGGGTTGGGTGTGGGCGCCGCAAGGGCGGCATCTGACGCTAAGGGAGCGGTGTTTGAAGCGGCCGCAGTCTCAGGCCAAGCCCCCCACTTTCTCGTCCTGCCCCCGCGGGAGGGGCTGTCGGAGGGGCGGCCCCTCACCCTGCGCGTGCAGCGGCGCGTCCGGGCCCCGCCCTGCTTGGAGCCCCGCCCCGCTCGGAACCCCGCCCCCCTTGTGGCACGAGCCGCTTCCTGACGCGGTTCCCCTCCCCCTTTTGGTTCGCGCAGGGAGTCGAGACCCGGGCCGCCACCGTCACCTCGGCCGCTGCGGCCGCCATCGCCTATTTCCCCCGCCCCCGCACCATGGCCGAGGAGCTCTCTGCGGCCACTTCCTACACCGAAGATGATTTCTACTGCCCAGTCTGTCAGGAGGTGCTCAAGACGCCGGTGCGGACCGCGGCCTGTCAGCACGTGTGAGTACGCGCCCCCTCCCCCGCGCGGAGCCGGGTGGTCGTTTAGGCCCAGTTTGCGGCCGCCGACCCCGGCTGCGGCCTGCCCGAGCGCCTCCCGCCCCGGGGGTCCCGTTCCCGGCCCGTAACAGCCCCCGGCCACCCTCTTCCCGGGCCTCCGGCGCGGCGGGCCCCTCTCCCGAGCTCCTGGTCCCCGGGGTTCCCTCGTCTTCGCGTCCCCGGGGCAGTGGGCAGGCCGGTGCCCGTGGCGTCTTCGGCCCCCGGAGGCCCCTCTGTGCTCTGCCAGGCCCGGGAGGAATTGCAGGGAACGTGGAGCCTTTTTGTTTCCTAGCAACCCGAGGGCGGCTGGGGTGTCGAGTGTCAAAACCGACCGGTGGAGCCCGCACCGGCCAGCTTGCCGCGCTCGGTGACCTGCCTTGCCTGGAAGTTTGTGCTTTCAGAACCTCGGCCCATCCTTTTCCGCCCACGAGCTCCTAATCTAACCTCATTCACCTTTCAGCCCCGCTCCGCAGCCCAGCGTTGATAGAGTTTGTGTGATATTCAGCGTAGGTGGGAATGGTCAAGGCCAGGATGAACTGCCCTCGCTGGCAGGATTTCCGGGTATACAAGTGAGAGTTCCCCTTTGTTTTACCCTTTTGCTCATTACTTGGTTACTATGGTGGAGGTAAAGGAACGCTTACGTTATGAGGAATGGCTGAAAATTCTAGGGACGAGGGAGAGCACAAAGGGATAGGTGAGACCGCCTGGTGCGTTTGACTTGACGTGTTTGTAGGAATTTTGATAATTCTGTGGACTGCTAGGAATTTTGATAATTCTGTCAGTAGAATTCGGAAGGAACCCTTCTTGAAAAGGCGTATAGAACTTCTGACACACCTGGATGTTGACCAGAGTCCCTGGGGAACTTTTTAAGTAAACACCCCAGTTCCCAGGCTCCATTCCAAACTTACAAAAAAATTTCGGGCAGGTAGGGCCTGGAAATTTTTATTCTAAAACAACGTACAGGCTTGAACAGTCTGTGTGCTTGCGAACAGCTGAACAGAATTGACCACTTTTTTTTTTAATTTTGAGGTGGGGCTCTATAATTTTGTAAAAGATCGATTGAATTTGGGCTTCCTATTCACAAATGTCATCACTGCAGTTTGTTTGATAACTTACTATTGTTCTGTTCCTCAGCCTTAACTGCACTGTCTGTTGCTATTCTGTGCTAGTTGGGTGAACCCAAGAGTATGTGGCTCTTCATGACAGAAATTATGTCAGTTAGTTTTTTGCTCTTTAAGGGAGATGACTGACAATCTGAAATGCTTTTTATTATTTGGTGTAGCAAGTGCAGATGGTTAGAAAAAAATTTTAGATGTTTAGGGTACAACATAAACTTTTTGGCTTTTATCATAACTTTTTGCCTTTCCTGTATTAAACATTGAAGTGTGGGTTGGCAGTGGATGGAAATTAGGGAGGATGGAAGGGTAAGATGAGAGGAAGTTATAGAAGCTGCTAACTGTATGTGTACATAGCCAGATCTTTTTTGGACAGCATCATTTCATTCACTCTTTGGTTCATTGACCTTATAAAACTCACTGTGATTTTTAGCGCCTCTCAAAATTTTATGCAGATTGCTCTACTCCACTTCCTGTGGGACCTTTTAAATCAAGGAGTGTAATTTGGCTTGACCTCAAGGTTATGGAAAGGAGTGGAGATGATTGTTTTTTTAATTTAGGACCTTTCTGAAATCAGCTAATTGTGCTTAGACAGTTCTGGCTGAGAACAGTGAATTAAAAAACAGGCAGAAGGAGGAAAACCTTTTATTAGGAAGGGGCAATAATGGTGGAACAGGGTCTTGATTGACTAGAACGAGATTGGTGGAAAAATGGAATTTTTAAAAAGTAATATTGTTATTTATATCATTTGCCTTACACCACAAAGGACAGATCTATGCCTGTTTAGCTACAAAATCAACTTTTTATTCATGGATATAGAGAGTTGAGGTGCTGAAGTCTTTGGGTCACTGTGGGTCTATTAGAAAATAAAAACAAGGTCAAAACTACTCAATGTGTCATTAAAAAAAAAAAAAAAAACAAGGTTTCATTGACATTTCAATTACAGGAAAGGATTTGCCTACTGACTACCCCAGTCAAAGGAGCAAGTTCATTATCATTAGAATAACTTTACCAAAATATAAATTCTCATTTAATCACTCTTCATTCTTTGACCAGAAATTGTTGAATGCTTTCCGTTTTCCTGGTACCGGAAATACAAAGTGCTCTTTCTCTGGAGACTGTTCATCTAAGGAGAAGACCTGTAGATGAGTGTAACTGATACGGAAGAGAATTTAGGTAGAAAATAGTATGTGAGCATTGAGAGCAGGTTTCTAAATCAGCCTATAGTACGAGTTACTGGGTAATGTACTACTGTCAGAGTGTGTATTGTGGATTTGTTGGGAAATAACACTGATGAGGTTTACATCATGTGCAGAGTTGAGTACAGAGGATAGTTCTGTATCTGGACTTCACAGTTTGTCTGGAGCTAGAGAATCAGTGTAGTGGAGATAGAGAGCTTAGCAGTATTGCCAGGAACTTACCATGTAAGCCAATTTGAGCATTTTCCTGAAAACCATAAAGACCTATTCAGTAATTTTTGGCAGTGAAACAGTATGGTCACATTCAATTTTTAGAAAGTTTACTTTTGTAACGGGGTCCAGCTTGGTATAGTGGTAAGACTCATCCATTGATGTGTTAGAGAGAAATGATTAGAACCTGAACTAAGGTAATAATGATAGTGAAGAAGCAAAGGAGCAAAGAAACTTCACATTTTAAGGACATTTTATAAGATTTGATGACTGTATGTTAAATATATATACTTATTTATATCTTCTGAAATGTATGGTGCTAAAGTTGTGGGTGTGGATATAGTCATTAAGAAAGATATATAAATGGAAAGATTGAAGAGGGCCTAGATAGAATGTAGTGTTGCAGAATATATATTTAATTACTGGATGGAGAAAAATACAGCTTGAGAAGGAATGAACAGAAGGATAGGAAGAAAACCAGGACAGAATTTGACAGCAGGAACTGAGAGAAAGACCCAAATCATTTGCTAATGACTGTTAAGGAAGGAGTTAGCATTGTCAGTTGCCTTGGAGTAGTCAGATGTGATATTTTGAGGGGGGGAGAAAAAAGAAAAATTTAGAATATTGAAGTTAAAAAGAATACTGAGGTTGAACAGATATTCAAAGTAAGGTTTCAGAAGAAAGTAGACCAGCCTAGTGTAAGGTTTTTGTCTCTTTTGATGGCTTTTCTCTGTAGTCTTCAAAGGTTCTTTGAACACTCTTCTTCCCTGTTCTGAACAGTCAAGGAAATAACTCTTGTATAGCATTAGAAGTAAGCTCCATTGCAATGCAGATTACATAGAGTCCTTACTAAACTATTAAAAATGAAAATCAGATCTGTATTTGTGAGCTCCTTTGTAAGGAGGCATCTTTTTTTTTTTTAAACAGATGAAGTATCACTCTGTCACCCGGGTTGGACTATAGTGGCATGATAAGTAGCTCACTGCAACCTCAAATTCTTGGGCTCAAGTGATGCTTTAGCTTCATGACTAGCTAATATTTTTCCTTTTTTTTTTTTTTTTTT